TTATATGCCGGAAGGCCTGGTCGTGTAGTGAATTACATGTTGGACTGTTAACCACATGGTTGGCAGTTTGAAATCACCAGTCACTTCATAAGAGAACAGTGAGGCTTTCAGGTACCATAGATATTTACAACCTTGGGAATCCTATACAGAGTTTGAAATAGTTATTGACTAAATGAAGACATCAGACGTGATGAAGGTCACCCAAAGGGATGTGCATAATATGTTGGGAGAAACGGGAAGGCTGTCTCATGGGTATGAAGCACCAGAACATAGCACAAATGTATAACAAGCGTTTGTTCAACTTCTCCTAGTCTTCTGTCCAGTGCCCCCACTGTGACAGGGACACCTGATTTACCCTTGTTGTTAAGTGCCATCGAGTCCATTCCAGCATAGGGTGTCCCAGGAACAGCTGGTGGGTTTGAACCACTGCCCTTTAGGTTAGTAGTCCAGTGCTTATCCTACAGTGCTGTTCCAGGACTAATGATTTACCCTAGGCTTTTAACATTTTTATATCTCCAAAATGGAAAATTACATATCTGAGCTCATCAGCCTTCATCCAAGGCCAAACAAATTTCCCAGGCCCCCAGAATGGCTGGCATTAGTTATGTGAAGTGGCAAAAAATCTGATTGAAACATTTCATAGTTGTTTGTGAATGGCTTTCTGGTAGGCCTTCCATTTCATAAAAGATGATTAATCTAGTTGGATGCTACCATTTCAGCTCATGGAGAACCAATATTTAGGCTTTGGAAAGCCACCAAACAGAAGAAGTAACTCGACTTTTTTGCCTTCTTTATCTCTAAACCCACAAATGATCCCGTCTCTATGGGCAGTGGAGGGTTGATACAGGAAAAGGGAGGTGAATAAAGATGGAGATTTGAATTAATTGTAAGGTAGTGTAAGGCGGGCGCTGCGGTGTCTACTGTGCTGTAATGCTGACGGGGGTTAAGAGTTAGGATTCTAGAATCCACATGTCTATGATCCCGACAACCATCTGGGTAACTTACATACACCTGTAAACCTCAGTTTCTTCATCTGTATAAAGTGGCTAATAACACATCTACCTGATGTGTTGTGAGGATTAGTAAGATAATGCACGTACAATACTGAACACATTGCTTGGCACCAAGTACCAGCTCAGTAAATGGTAGTTAATGCTATCATCTTTAAAAATGCTGATGGGAAGCTCAAGAAGAGAAGTTACATTTAAAGTATGATGGTGGGGAATGTAGAAATCTCGTTTCTGTAAGGCTTGGGATCTCTCTGCACGAATCTCATGGAAAAACAAAGTACACGTGGCAGGGGTGGTAGGAGGCAGCAAGAGTCGTTTTCAAAGTGACCAGTCCATTTTTGGGCAGGAATCCATCTGAGCATAAACATTCCTACCCCAGTCAAGGTCAGTGGTTCAAACTCACCTGCTCCTCCTTAGAACAATAACAATGCCCTAGTTAAGGAGTCCTGGTGTGGTGCTGGTAAAGGACATCGGTGGTTCAAACTCACTAGCTGCTCCTTGGAAACATACACAGGGTCACTGTGAGTCAGAATCAACTCGATGGCACTTAACAACAACAACAATGGTACTGAGTAAGTTTCAACACAGCTTCTAGACTAAGATGGACTAAAAAGAAAGAAGAGGCAATCTGCTTCCAAAAATCAGCCACTGGAAACCCCGTGGATCATAATGGCGCCATCTGTAACCATCATGGGGTGACACAAGTCGGGGCAACATTTTGTTCTTTTGTACATGGGGTTACCATGAGTGGGGCTAACACAATGGTAACTAACAACAACCACTTTTGCGATGACTGAGTGTCCACTTTATCTCAGGAAAAATTAGCTCCTTTTCTCAGAAGGCCTACTACACTGAGCATTGTCTTCCACAATTTTTCTCCATGTTCTTCAGTGCGGGACAGCTCTCACATTGCTGCGTCTACCCTGTCTTTCCCCAGTTACCAGAAGACTTGGGCTGCTAGAATTGCTTGACTTAGGTAATGAACCAAAGGTTGCCTTAAACCTGTGGTTCTCAACCTAGGCTAATTTTGTCCTAGGACGTTTGGCAATATCTGGAGACATTTCTGATTGCCACTACGGGTGTGTGTGTGGGTGTGCAACTGGAATTTAGAGGGTAGAGAGTAAGAACTCTGCTAAATATCCTATAATGTATAGGACAGCCCCCATGACAAAAATCTAACCCAAAATGTCTGTAGTGTCAAGATTGAGAAACCCTGCCCTAAATTGTTCTTGGAGTCCTGATGTGGTGCTGCAAGATAATGCACTGAACTTCAAGGTCAGTTTGAACCACAAGGTCAGAGGTTCAAACTTACCAGCCACTCCTTGGAAACCCTATACAGGGTTACTGTGAGTCAGAAGAACAACAAATTGTTCTTTATCTTAACTTTTCTTATCTGAGCTGCTCTGTCTGTAAAATTCAAAGACTGAATACTATGCATGATCCTAGACAATTATGCATTCTAGGGTTTTACTTATTTCACTAACCTCTAGAAATTTCCAAATTAAAATTAATCAGAGCGGACTGGTTCACACCGACTTGCCTTTTGCCTAAAGAGGTCAATCTACAGCAGTAGGTTGTGGCTTCTCTGAAGCTTCAGCTGTAGAATTTCATCAACAACTTCTCATTCTACCATCTGTGGGGCCACAGAGGGGTAGTGGGACTTCTCCTATGAGAAATGTACATCCAAAGTAAGCACACATTTCCCGTTTATGGTGTATGAGCTTTAGTGAGCTTTTGCTCTTTCTCAAAACCAGTTTGGTTTGATTACCACCCTAATGACACTGGCCCACCCTAAGAAACTGACAAGCCCACACACCTTTGTTGAAAGAATTTATTTCTAACCCATTATCTGAGATCCTGTGAGCAACTTAATAAATACACAACTAAAGACTCCCAGCGCATGCTCATCTGAACACAGGCCAATAATACTTCATCCATGTGCTATCAGAGAAATGCATGAATTGATTAAACATATAACAAATATCTTTACCAGAAATAGACCTCTGATTAAAGAGCACTGTTCTATGAACTCACCATGGCCCCCCAAATCTAGCTGACAATGTTTTAAAGGTCAGTTCAAAACAAGTCATGATTTAGACATCAAGACAATCCTTTCACTCCAATGAAGCAGTTAAATAGTGTTGGTCACCGGTCACAGAGTTTTAGCAGCCACAAACAGAAGAGCAGAAAAAGCAATCAGACAAAATGGACCCTAAAGTCCCACCTTCCAGGCCCCCAGTTTCACTCAACAGTGGGCCTCAACTTTTCCACGTAACTTTTCAGAAACTGGAGACAGATTCCAAATGAGAATACCAAAGCTTCCCTTCATTGCCAGCAATGTTGACCACATGTTTCTTAGAAATTTTTAGAACCTCTGGAGAAAGAAAGATCAAATCCATGGGCGATGCTGTGAATTTCCCACCTACTTTCCAATCCCAAGAGTATTCCTTTTACAGCCACGAGCATTGAAGGCTGAACTCACTGTATTTTTTGAAAAAGTACCCCAAAATGGAAGACAAAAGGCCAGAATCTTGGACGGTCAGGGGTTTCAAATCGTGTGCTATCGCGGGCCAGCAACATCAAGGTGTCTTGTCCGACCCATAGCGACCCTGTATAGGGTTTCCAAGGAGCAGCTGATGAGCTTGAACCGCCGACCGTGCAGTTCAAAGGGCTTTGCAGTCTGGTGCATTAGTCCACAGCGCCACACTAGGACTCCATCAAGGTCGCTTAGGAGCTAGTTATACGTGCATGATTCTCGGGCTCCGGCCCATTCCCACCGGATCAGAACCTGCCACTACAGAAGAATTTTAAAAAAGCAGTTCTGCAGAACCCCTTGTTGTTGTTGTTATGTGCCGTGGAGTCAGTTCCTACTCATAACGACCGTGTATAGGGTTTCCAAGGCTGTACATCTTTACGGGGGCAGAAAGCCTCATCTTTCTCCCACGGAACAGCTGGTAGTTTCGAACTGCTGACTTTGCGGTTTGCAGCCCGATTCGTAACCACTACGCTACCAGAGCTCCTTAGACACATTTAAAAAATCTCCCAGCCTAAGCTTCCAATAGTGAGATGGAAACGAACAAAATATCCACACAGGAAGTAAAACAAAACTGAAGGAACTCAGCTATTACCAGTATTGTGGTGGGTTATGTGGAGATTTCAGTTAATGACACAGCGTGGTTTGTTTTGTATTAGCGGAAAAATAATTTGTAAATGGAGCTGACTGTCTCCGAAGAGTGTCCTGATGGCTTTTCAAGGGACCCTTTCGAAATGCCTACTGCGCTTGTCACACGGTGCAGACACTTGAGAGGTGTTAGATGAAGCAGACACAGCCGACAAGCTGGCCTCTCCCATCCCATAGCGGACCGGCAGCTCTCGCCTCGGCAGATGAGTTCTCTGGCCCTGCAAACCTCCGCCTTCTTACTCTGGGACTCGCAGAACCTCGGATCGGAACTGTCTAGAGTTGCAGCTAGCTGTAACTAACTTTCCCTGGAAATAAATAAATAACTGCCGTAAGTTCTAGGAGAGCGGGGCCCAAGTTATTTGTCTGCAATCTGTCTCACACTTACACACACACACAAAGGGGAAAGTGGGTAGTAAAAAGTCTTGATGGATCCCCTACAGGGCTCCAGGAGAATTCGTTTGAGAGGAAAAAGCAGTCACCGTTACAAATTCAGTGAATGATTTCTGGCCGGCGTTTTTCTCCTGTAGCAAAACAGCAGGAGAACTAATAAGAGTCCCCGGAAATAGCAGAGATCAGGCTGAAGTTTTGAGCGAGCTAGGTGCCCTCCCCAAGTCTCCGGATCTCTCCTTCCTTCTTTGCCTTCAGGCCTCCTCCCTTTTGCTGGGGGCGGGCGGGCGGGAGACTTTCAAAATAGGATGGGTGTGCGCTCACGCTAGCGCAAATACGGCCGGAGGAGTCCTGTTCCTCGGGCATTTTCCGAGGAAGTCTGGAGCAATTAGGCTCAGACCCGGGAGAGCAAGCGAGCTTGCGGGCGACGCAGCCGGCGTGTCTGGGCCGCCTCGCAGGGAGGGAGGGGGCGGCCGGCCGCCCGGCGGCGACCCCGGGCCCTGGCCGCCACCATGGGCTTCGAGTTGGACCGCTTTGACGGCGATGTGGATCCGGATTTGAAGTGTGCACTGTGCCACAAGGTCCTGGAGGACCCGCTGACCACACCGTGCGGCCACGTCTTTTGCGCTGGCTGCGTGCTACCCTGGGTAGTGCAGGAGGGCAGCTGCCCGGCGCGCTGCCGCGGTCGCCTGTCGGCCAAGGAGCTCAACCACGTCCTGCCACTCAAGCGCCTCATCCTCAAGCTGGACATCAAGTGTTCACACGCCGCGCGCGGCTGCAGTCGAGTGGTCAAGCTGCTGCAGCTTCCGGAGCACGCTGAGCGCTGCGACTTCGCGCCCGCACGCTGCCGCCATCCGGGCTGCGGCCAGGTGCTGCTGAGGCGGGACGTGGAGACACATATGCGCGACGCTTGTGACGCGCGGCCCGTGGGCCGCTGCCAGGAGGGGTGCGGGCTGCCCCTGACACACGGCGAGGCGCGAGCGGGCGGCCACTGCTGTGCGCGGGCTCTGCGGGCGCACAACGGCGCGTTGCAGGCCCGCCTGGGAGCGCTGCATAAAGCGCTCAAGAAGGAGGCGCTGCGTGCAGGCAAACGTGAAAAGTCGCTCGTGGCGCAGCTGGCCGCGACGCAGCTCGAGTTGCAAATGACGGCGTTGCGCTACCAGAAGAAGTTCACGGAGTACAGCGCGCGCCTCGACTCGCTCAGCCGCTGCGTGGCCGCGCCGCCCTGCGGCAAGGTAGGCACCCTCCGCTGGTCCGGACCTCCTGCTAATCACCCAGGCTTCCACCCGGTCCCTTAAGACACACAATGCCAATGGCATCCCATTTGCATCCTTGCCTCCCTCTTCTTGGCAGCCTTATCACCAGGTGCAGGTCGCTGAAACTATGAGACCTGTAGACTTGACACACAGTTCAGGGATTCCGAAAAGGCGAAAGAGAATCAATACTAAGTGTGGAATAAGAATTAAGAGTGTGGCGCCAGAGTGAGAACTATAGCCCAAATATATATATATTTATATATATATTTCCTGTTCAGAACAGCTGATTGACCTTGGGCAAGTTGCTTAAACTCGCTTAGATTGGACACCATGGCCCGGGTAGGCGTAAAGTATATCCAAGCACCCTCAGAGACTCCAGAAAGAATAAAGGAGACCCACAGCCAGTGTGGAATACGTTTAAAATGATGCCAGAAGAGAGAGGCTTCTGGGGTAAAAACTGGATTCAAAACTGGTCTTTGCTGCCAACTAGCTGGGTGACCTTGAGCAAGCTGCTTAACCTCTCTAAAGTTGGAAACTGCGGTCCCCAGAGACGAGATGCAGGGAAACACTCAGCCATATATCTTCTGGGGTATTCATCCAAGGATTTCAGAAGGAGTGAAAGGAACCCGCCGTCTAGTATAAAGTAATAGTAAAAAATGAGTCGCCTAGAGTTAGAAATGCTTTCAATATAGGCTATCTGCTAACCAGCCAAATGATTTTAGTGCTTAATCTAAAGGCCTTGGTTTCCCTAAATGTAAAGTAGTTGATTGGGTCACTGTCTGACCTCTAGGATGGAGTGCATGAAAAAGATCTGGCAATATGCGTGGAGGGGAGTAAATGCCTATACTTTGCAATTTTTTTTAAACTGGCTCCCTGTGACGCCATTCCTTTACCCTCTTAGTGGTGGGGGTGGGCATGTGCTATGGAGAGTCTGTTCTGACTCATAGCGACCCTGTATATAGAGTTTCCTTTTTCCGAAGAGTGACTGGTAGATTTGAACTGCTGATCTTGTGAGTAGCCCAGCTCATAATCCACTACCTGTTAGGGCCCCCTTTTGCCCTGGTTGTTAAGTGTAGTCGAGCTCCTGTATAGCTTTTCGGAGGAGTGGCTGGTAACTTAGAACTGCTGACCTTGTGATTAGCAATCGAGCGCTTATTGTTCAGCACCACACCACAACTGGTGGTGGTGGGAAATATAATAGCAACCCTCTGCTCAGTGTTTGCTTTGCTCTGCACACTGTGCTAAACACTTCCTAGTCATTACCTTTTTAATCAAGGCAGATAACATGTGCCTGAGGTCACTGAGCTCTCTCTTATCTGCCAGAACTGGGTTTTGAACCCACGTGTGTCTGTCTCTCAAGCCCAGACTTTTAACCATTATTGTGTGTTGCCTCTCAGTGTAACCACAAGCATCATTTATTGAGTGTTTATTGTGTGCCAGCAACTGTAGTCAGCATTTTACATGCATTATCTGTTTAATCCTTTCAGATGAGGAAAACAGGCTCAGGAAGGTTGTATAATTTGTCTAAAATCAGTGACTTGAAGCGTAGCTGGGATTCAGCAAGCATGCAGGATCTACTTAAGGGTATCATGGAGGCGTACTGTGAGACCCATGGGGGCAGGTTGCAGGATCTGCAGTTGGAATCCACTAGCTGCACCATGAGAGAAAGATGAGGTTTTCTGCTCCCATAAAAATGTGTAGGTTCAGAAAATGCTAGCTAGCTCTTCTACTCTGCACTATAGTGTCTCTGTGAGTTCGGTGTTCAGGGTACCTAACATCGGCGTACCCGATGTCAGCATTGTTGAGGTTTTGGACTGGATCATTTCTGCATTGTGGGGGAACTCTGATACACGGTTGTTTAGTAGTATCCCTAGTCTCCCCCCCTGGATGACAGTAGAACCCCTCACCCCCACCCCACTGACTGCCCCAAGTCCTAACAATCCAAAAATGTCTACACATTTCTGAGTGTTCTCTGGGAGGGGGGCAGAATCACATCAGTTGAGAACCAGTGTTCTCCCTTATGGCAAATACCACATTTCCACATATCGGCGAGGCATGGGCCATGTGGCCGCCACTCTGTAGTTGTCTTGCCCCAGATGGCATGGTCAAGAGGTATATTTATTCTAGAACCCCCAGGGCCTGCGTGTTTACTTGCCCCTGTCTTTGCCCACCTCCCAGCTCCCTGTCCCATGCACACACCAGGCCTGCAAGTTTTCCAACTCTAACCCCTTCTGGCCCCCAGCTTGTCTGTCAGCTGCAGCTTCAGCAGCTGGCCTGCTCTGGACGAAGGGCAAATATTTACAGCTCCGCCACTCGCTCACCCAGGACCGCACAGGCGCACAAAAGCAGGCTGTGAGTAGGCGAATCATCGAAACTCAGGCCTCAGCTTGTGTTTTCAGTAGGTGCCAGGTTTGGGGGCGAAGGAGTTCCTGAGTTTTCCGCTTATGCTGTCATCTGGACTTCCTGCGTAGTTTTAAGCGACGCTTATTTATAAATAAGTCATTCACTCCCCCAGAGTGTATACATCATTCATTGTTAAGCTGGTTTATTATTTCTTCTTGCCTTTTTGTTTTCATACTGGAGTGTTTGGGTAAACTCCTTCTCAGACTCAAAAATGTGATACTTGAATCAAAACTATGAACTATGGATGTTTTTGAAGCTTCGTTGGGTGGGCGGATAGTATAATCAAGGGTATTAAGTTAGGGGACAAGATGTTGCTTTTTGAACTTACAGAGAAAGTGTTGTTCTGGGGCTGGGCCCCTACTTGGGACTCTCTGAACCTTAGTCCTAGCCTTGAGGATATCCAAGCAGGACCTGATCTGAAAGCTGCTGAAGATGGTTTCCTCTGCCTTCAGTTCCTGAATGGCCTCCCAGAAGCACTAGGGAATCTTGCTCTTTTTCCCTGAAGTTCACTCTCTGTGGTCTTGCCTTCTATGTCCGCCAGAAAGTCCCATCGCACTAGAAGTTGTTTTAAAACTTGTTTATTTCATTGGACCGACTCTCTGCTCCTGCCCGGTACAGTTTATTGTCTTCCAAAAGAAGGATTTAGATATTAGAAATTCATGTACAACACTTTATTATTTTTTTTAGTAAGTCATAATGTTCACTTCTCTGTTACAAGCCGAAGTAGATAAGAAACACTCAGAAGATTTTAGATACCACCTCTTCAAGGCTTAAAATTTGTTCCATAAAATGATCTCACAGTATTTAAATTACCTGGTTTTATGTGTGTGTATTTGTTTTTTTCTAACACCTGCTGAATGCTTAGTGTGTGCTGGTGTTCTGCGTGCAGGTGAGCTAGATTAAGGTTTATAAGACTTTAGGGCGAGGGCTCACCTACAGATCCTACTAAAGCGTTTATGTCACGTTCTTAGAAAAGAGTTCTTGGTGGTACAAATGATTAATATGCTTAGCTTAACTGGCCTGTTGGAGGTTTGGAGTCACTCAGGGCCACTTGAAAGGCCTGATGGATTATTTCTGAAAAGATCAGCTAATGAATAATCCCATGGAGTACCGTTATACACACACGGGGTCACCATGAGTGTGCTTTGACTCCATGGCAGTTGGCACCTCCTCGAGATTCTGATCCTGTGGAAACCTGGTGTGGCACTGTAAGGTAAGCACTGGACTGCTAAGTGAATGGCTGGCAGTTCAAACCTATCAGCCACTCCTTGAAAACCCCCTACAAAGTTGCTGTGAGTTAGACCTGACTGTACAGTACTTCACAGGGCTAGTGTGGGGCCTGCAATTCTTCATGTCAAGCAAGTTCCCGGTTGTCTCAGAGTTTGTGTAGCAATTGAAGAAGACGAAGCATTTAGGCTCAAATAGAGACCCCATCAAGTCATGTGTTTGTCTCCTCCATACAGTTTTGATTCTACTTTCCAACACCTAAAAGCCTTTCCTAAAAGTTCTAAGGAAGACCCTAGTGAAGTTCTAAAGCACAGTCTGCCTAGCATTTAGAGGGTAGGCAGATGGGACCTAGGAAGGCATTTCTCATCTGCAGCTATGCTGGGGCAGATTTGGTAATGGTCCCCTTAAGTAAGTTAAAGAGGTTTTGTTCCCAACCTGTTTCCCACCTTGATTTACCCACCAGATTGCAAGAGCAAAAGCATTTCAGAGCAAACATTTTTCTTTGGTTTTATGGAAATGTACTATCTGGACGTAACTTTCCTTTGAATTGTTGAGAAACTTGAGACTCATTGTTGATATATTCTACTCACTCAGCCTCACATCCAGTTTGTTGTTAGGTGTCTTGAGCCAGTTCCAGTTCAGAGCAACCTTATGTACCCCCCTGAATGAAATGCTCCCTTGTCCTGTGTCATCCTCATGTTATTGATGTTGTTAGGTGCCGAACCACAGGGACTTTATGCATAGCAAAACGAAACATTGCCCGATCCTGGGCCAACCTCACTACTGTTGCCATGCTTGTGTCCATCAATGCTGCCACTTGGCCAATCCATTTCGTTGGGGGTCTTCCTCTTTTCCTCTGACCCTCCACCTTACCAAACATGATACCTTTCTCCAGTGACTGGTCTCTCCTGACAATATGTCCAAAGTATGAGAGATAAAGTTTGGCCATCTTGGCCTGCAAGGAGCACTCTGGCTGCACTTCTTCCAAAACAGATCTATTGTGTCATCCTCATAGTCATTGATATATTTGAGCTTGTTGTTGTAGCCACTGTGTTAATCTATCTTGTTGAGGGTCTTCCTCTTTGTCGCTGACCCTCTGCTTTAACGAGCACGATGTCCTTTTCCAAGGACTTCTGATAACGTGTCCAGAGTATGAGATGAAGTCTCTCCACCTTTGGTTCTAGGGAGCTTTCTGGCTTTACTCCCAAGGCAGGTTTGCTCTTCTGACAGTCCATGGTATAGTCAATATTCTCCACCAACACTGTAATTCAGATGCATCAATCTTTGGTTTTCCTTATTCATTGTCCAACTTTTGCATGCATCTGAGGGAGTTCAAAATACCATGGCCT